ATCATCATCATCATCATCATCATCATCATCATCACAATAAAAATCCAGTGGATTCCAAGCCATGTTGGAATAGAAGGAAATGAGGCAGCAGACCAAGCTGCTAATGAAGCCTGAGAGATTGAAGGAGACAGACGACCAACAACATACAGAGGAGTCTTTCCAATGATCAAGAGGGAAATAAGAGACCCACCATGTAGAACTAAGTACCAGCACCTGGAAGATGTGTATTCTGGGTACTCCTAAGACTGCGGTCGGACCATCATTGGAGTTTAAGATGGTATAAGAACTTTGTAAATGAAGAGCTCAGCCTATGTTGCCGAAGATCCGGCCTTGAAAAGGAGGATGTCAAACATATATTTGAATGTCCAGGAACAATGTCAATTCGAATGGAGTTATTTGGACGAGTGGATGTGCCGCTAAGAATATTGACAATGGAGCCGAAAAATCGAACATTTCTTCGTTAAGTCCGTCAAGCCCATTAAGGAAACAAATTTATTTTTTTAAATCATCATCATCATCATCATCATCATCATCATCATCATCATCATCATCATCATCATCATCATCATCATCATCATCATCATCATCCAACACTTCTTTGTTATGCATCTGTCTGACTTCCTGAGAGTGTATCAGATCCATCACCACAACCTTCTTCCGCCTTCGTCTCTGACTGGGCTCTGTCTTGTTTTCCTTAAACACTTCTTCGTTGGTGACCCTGTCTGTCCATCTGATCCTGAGTTGTTTCCTCAGACACTTGTTCAAGAAAACCTGGATCATCTTTATGCAAGTCTGAGATACGTTCCATGTCTCACATTCAAACAATAAAACTGACTTCAAATTTGAGTTGAAAATCCTCAGCTTTGTTCGGAGCGATATATCCCTGGTCCTCCAAATCCCATTCAAAGATATAAAAGCAACCTCTGCCTTTCCGGTGCGGGATTTGATGTCAGCACCTGTTCTCCCCTCTCTGTAAATCACATTGTCTTTGAATCATAGTAAAAAAATGAAGCCCCCCCACCCCCAAAAAAAAACCCCCAACAAAAACGACAACATTAACAACAACAACAACAGCAGCAACCAAAATGCTCTCTTCGGGGCCCAAAACAATGCAGAAAGATAGGCTATCACACAACAACAACAACAACAACAACAACAACAACAACAACAACAGCAGCAACAAAAATAACATCAACAACAACCCCTCGCATAAAATTAAACAGACGAAAGCGGCTAACAAATCAAGCCCACCTTCTATTTGTAAGTAGAAATTGTAACTAACTAGCTGGGCCCCCTTTCGATGAAAGGAATGGTCGGTGCATTAACATCAACTGAATATCATTGGTCTACTATATATACACTCTACTGGAATGGAGCAATAAATCTAGAGAGAAAAGTGACACACACTTAAAATAGTGCTCAGTATTGTGCGACAATGCGTGATAGTATCGAACGGAAGTACGACTTACAAACCTGGCGGATTTTCTAAAATTACAGAGACAGAAGCGTCGGCCTACAAAAGCGATCGGCGAAATAAAGAAATTTTGCTTTTTGTAGCAAAACTGTCTCAAAACTGAAAAATTGAAGGGCGTCATGATCTGGAGAATATTTAGAAGAATCTTTTAGTGAAAATCGCATGTCGATCGATGCAGCCATTAAAAAGCCTTTTGAATAGCAAAATTCGGCCACAACAAATAGATAATAGATTTGTGTTCATTATGAGGACGAGAATATTAAATTTCTTGTAACGAGTTTAAAAAGGGGGGGAGGGGGGCTACACCTGATGGCTGCCTCGCTTATTAGTGGAGCAAATTATGTGACCAAATTTCACACTTAAGCATAGTAAGGAGTCTTAAAATCCGCAAACGAATTTGAGAAAAAAGTTTCGTTTCCATGGTAAGGGCGGCCATTTTTTATTTTATTGACCTGTTTTACGTAAGGAATATCACACTTTACTTCATGGAAATAGATTGTTTGTTGTTGTTGGGGCTTTTTGCACGCATTTTAACAAACATTAGATCTACAAATTAGTTTTTTGAATTTTCCATAAAGGAATTAGAAAAAAAAAAAAAATTTCCTGAGGTCGTACTCTAGTTTGCAAAAAATCCGTGCAAATCCACACTCCAGACACCACCAACAAAAAAACTATTTGTATGTCATATTATATATACTTCATATACTTTTTTTTGTATTACATCTTCTCTTCATTCTGTGAATAGTTCATGAAGATTGGATGAAAAATGGTGGAGTTATTCAAAAAGGTATATAGCAAAAACCTCGTTTTGAGAAAACGGGCAATAAAGAACAATAAAAGATTGATTTTGTGAGGAAATGGTGGTGATAAACATGCCTGGTATAGGAAGAAATACGACTTTAGGGGGTTCTAATGTTATGAAATAGTTGTAAGAGAGGCTAAAGAAGCTAAAAATGCCTACAAATCAAAATCCATTATGATTTTGAGCCCCTTAAGAAACATTCTGATCTCAAGCTTTGTTTGACGAGTAATTGTGTTTTCTCTTTTTGGTTGATATGTGTATGATTAGATCTATATCGTTGCGTGTACAGGTGTATGTGTGAATGTGTGTGTGTGTGTGTGTGTGTGTGTGTGCGTGTGTGTTTGTGTGTGTGTTTGTGTGTGTGTGTGTGTGTGTGTGTGTGTGTGTGTATGTGTGTATGTGCGTCCGTGCATGTGTATGTGTGTATGCATGTGTGTGTTTATGTGTGTCAGTAAATTTATGGTGTCAGTAAATTTTCTAAGGAATCTCTCACCTAGATCCAGCCTGTCGGTGTTGCCCTGTGGGGTAGCACGTAAAAAATGTCTTCGCTCATCATTTTAGTCAGAAAATCTTTCATCTATTGCATGTTGATTTTAAAAAATTATCAAAACGTTTAAGCGGTTGGAGCATAATTCCATCAATAACATTTAATTTCATATTTGTCCTCCAGATGAATGCCATCATGAACCCGTTTATCTACGTGTGGGGGAACATGCGCATGAGACAGTTCATGAAGAAATGGCTGCGACGTCAGCAGACGACGGGTGGTACCACACACGGCGCTTCCGGGAACACAGAGATCTCTTTCTAGACGTCATGCTGTTCTTGGAGGGGGAAAAAACAACACCCGACAAAAGCAATGGATGGACGGACGGACGGACGGAGAAAAAGGAGAACAGTCTATCTACCTGTGACGACCTCCAGCTGTTCACTTAATTTCAGAATAATTAGGATAATTGTATTGTTATATTGCAAACACAACGAATAGGGATTAAGAACGAGGCGTTTCGAGATGTCACACCATTAATTGACCTGTCGAAATCAAATTCATGACTTGGCGTC